AAAAGTCCAAGATACCTATTATCTTCTTGTAGACCTTCTCCTCGCACCTCTCCTTTCCCTGAGCACACTTTATGAACTGATGTTTCATCTTCTGTTAGTATACTGCTTTGGTTGCCTTCCTTTACAGTTAGACCTCTTTCATTTCCTTGATGCTCCTTGGCAGTTACAGAGGCTATGGATGACAAATGGCTTTCCTCAGCAGGCTTTCCTATTAAATCGGGCTCAGAACAAATGACAGCATCAAAAGATGAGCAGACTTCAAGGGTCACATTCTCAGAATATGGATCTCCACCTTTCACAGAGTCAGTAGATTCTGGCCCTTCGTTCAACTTAATCTTCAGGTTCATTAGATCGTTATCTACTTCAGAAGTTGAACAGGTATCAGTATTATGTAAAATAGCTACCGAGCCAAAGATGTCTTCTGATTCAGCGTCTTTAGTGATCGGCAACAATATATCCTTAAGGGCCCGCTCATGATTCAACAGATTTTCTGGGCTTTTTCCAACAACCTCAGTTGTATATTCTTGAAGGTTGCTTCTTTCCATAACCAAGCTCCTTTTACTAGTTGATTCTAGCTGTAAAGCATTTACACCTTGCTGGTTTTCTAAAGAACTGCAGTTGTGCATTCTATCCAGGAGAATTCTTTCATTAACACTCTGACTGTCCTGAGTGTTTTCCTTTTCACCTACTGCAGCGGCATGCAACTGGCTATCTGTATCTGCAGGCTTATCCTGGCACCAGGGCTCCTCACTGTCACCTTCTACTCCTTCTTCATCATCGCCATCATCAACGTCATCATCATCATCACTGTCATATACATAATCCCGATAACTTTCTTCACTTTGCATAGAATCTAACTGCTCAGTCTCAGATGTAAATTCTTGTCCAGTTGTATGTTCTTCTGTTCTCCCTCTCCAACACCCAGTGTCATCAAATTTTAACGAGGCACTAAAGCTCTCTTTTCTTTCTCCAATTTCATAATCAGTCGATGAGTCAGACTCATCACCTTCAAGGCTGTTTGAGCTTTCCCTTTCTGATACAGTTTCCAGCAATGGTCTGTTGCCCTCGCGTAAGCCAACTGAACCTGAATGGATTCTCTCACCAAGATCGACTCCAGCATTCTCGGTAGCCATGAGAACACCCTGGGGAGACTCTGGGCTTCCCCTCACATTTAGGCTGTCGAGCAGTGCCCCCTGGGCTATCACAGAACTTCCACTCTCTCTTGAAATATCATAAAACCCATCCCCAAAGGGAGCAGCCCCATCAGTTTCCTCTTGCAGTGTGGCATAGTCCTCAGGCTGTAAACAATCATGATCGTCCCCTTCCAGAAGCAGAGAATCATGGTCGTCATCTTCAAACAAGGGAGTATCATAAAAATCATCTTCACTGTCAGTGTCTGTTTCTGTCACACTTGGCTGATCATCTAGGAGTGATGTTTCATAGTCGCCAGCACCGACGGTTCCTTCAAGCAGCAGTGGGCTGCAGATAGGAGATGCGCCCTGCAGGGTCATGGCACAGGTGTCCTCTTCCATTTTGGACCCAGATGGCTTGTCTTCAGGTTTCTGTGAAGAGGCAGCACACAATTTTTCCTCTTCGCCATAAGTTTCTGAAATACATTTATCATTGCGAGACTGGTCCTGAGGAGGACTGTCACCTATATTCACAGGTTTCTGTTGAGAGCATTCTCCCTGTAAACTGATATTGATTGCTGCAATTCCCAGAAACTGCTCTTGAAAAGTCTCTCCCATTTGTTGACCTGACAGCTTGGTTTGGTCACTGAGGGGTGATGTGGAGTCTTCACATTTATTTCCATTGCTCTCTAGGGTAGGTATGTCATTTAGGCTTTCCTGGTCATTCCTCAATTTATCATGACTTAGCAAGGCACTCAGCCTGGGAGAATAGTCAAAGATTGTCAAATCCCTGCTTATATTACCTTCATTCTCTTTTTCATTCAAGTCACAGATCCTACTAGTTTTTGATTTCATAATACGATTTGTTATCGAATCACTTGCAAAGTTTTGAATATTTTTAGAATGACTATATTCACCGACATGTTCACTTGTTCCAACTTGACCTTGATTTTCACTGTTTTTAAGTATGTCTTCAGAGTCTTGTCTAAGCATGCCAACTGCTACAAGTTCAGGCTGTGTTGAATAGGATGCAGAATTGGAAACACACACACTGGATGAAGTCTTGACTATATGATCAGTTGCTATTCTATTTGCCAGGTTTTCTGACTCACAGAATTCACTATTGGTAATGATATTTCCCATTTCATTAAACTCTTCATCTATGGCATGCTTTCTATCTTCAGCGATTTCTTTATGCTTAAGTTCTCTACAATGACATTTACCAAAACTATTCGGCGAAGCTATCCTGTCATTCTTTTCTTCACTTGGAGCATTATTCAGAAAAACACCAGGGAGTCTTAAAGTATCAAGACATTCTTTGATGGGTGTGCCCTCAAATTCTGCACTACAGCCTTCCAGCAGCATCCCAACAGCCTCATTCAAGTCTCCATCATACAGCAAGAGCCTCTGCCCTGTGTTTGCATCCATATAGCTATTTATCATCAAATAAGACAGAAATAATTTTTTAGTTTGTTCTGAGCTCTGAGTTGCCACAGGCTCTTCTCCATCAAAAACATCCTCTTCTTGCCTGTAATCATGGACTGTGGATGGTTGGAATTTACAAAAAGAGAGCCATCTTCTGGCATTTTTACAAGCTTCTAAACCCCCCAAATCTGGCATTTTGTCAGGCAGCATTATATTTTTCAAAATCGATGCTGTGTTATTATCTATAATTCCCAGCTGCTTAGCAACATCCAAACCAATGACTTGAGAAGTTTCTGGAATATAAAGAGCTGCTATCTTCTGCCTGCCATTCAGGATTTTGTAGGCCAATTCATTTGTAATCAATTCTTGCTGCAAGGAAGACGATGTTGGAAATATTTCACCAGAGTGAGGCCAAATGAGTCCAACATAGCCTCGCTGAGCCTCTAGGACCAAAAGAGCACTGCTTGAAGTAATTAGATCACACTGGACCGCTTCGTCCACCGTCAAACGTTTAGGAGGGTCTGAGTGGATGATTCCACCTGTTTGAACCTGATATGTGAGAATACTGTTAGCCATGTCTCTGTCAATCACCCCTTCTGCCACAGCTTCTTCAACGGTCATTCTCTGACCAGAGCTGCAACTGATGAGACCCCCAGAAAGAAGCTGTGCACCTAATAACCTAAACATGGTTTCACGGTCTATGAGACCTTCATGAGCTGCCCTTAAAATGCTTATGTTTCTTCCACATTTTAATGTTATTCTGCCTCCTTCTTGCGGTCTCACAGGTAGAAGCCGCAACCCAGTGTTTTCCTGTAAAATACTTCTTTGTATAATATCTGCTAAAGACACCTTCTCAGCGGTGCAGGGGTCAATAAGATCTTTACATGTGTTTTGCCTTTCCAGGACTTTAGAAAATAGTGCTGAGGAAACCAGGTTCTGTTGGAAAGCCTTCTGCAGGGTCAACTGTTCTCCTGTGGCTGGAGTGACTAGAAAGCCTGTGGAAAGCAGTATCTCGAGAACTCTGATGGCCATGGATTCTGATATCATGCCTTGGGCCAAAGCTTCCAGCACTGGAATTGTGGGAGAAGACATAGTAGAAATGATCTCCTTCGCTTGATTTAGTTCTTTGAGTTGGCACAAAACTTGTTCATCAATAAGGCCATGACTTGAAGCATCTTGGAGGTCAAAACATTTTCTTAATTCTGGTGAAATGAGACCAGAAATCATTAGCTGTGTCTCAAGCAACCTAATTCCTGTGTCATAGTCAAGAAGGCCTCTTAAAACGGCCTGAAAGACGGGAAGTACTTCTCCAGTTGTCTGATCAACGGTGCCACCAATCACTTTATCCAGCTGAAAAGAGAACAGAAAATTCTCAGGTCAGTCGGTGACCCAAGGGTGGGCAGAATTTCATGAAACTTAGTTTGCATTTTTTAAGAAATAAATACACTTCAACATAAAAATCCTCTACTTACCAAGGCGCAGCAATGCTGTGAATGTTAGGCAGCTCAAATGCACAAGTGATCTATGTCAGTGATCTATTCAACAGCACAGGATGTGATAAAAGCTTTGAAAACAACATGCATCTGTGAATTGAAAACTTAATATTGTGTACATTAACAAGGTTAGTGAGGACACAACAGAGTAAATGATGATGGTGAGAAAAACAGAACACATACCTAAGAAGGCAAATCATGCTCTCTGCAATTGGGTGAGATTAGTTGACTGACATGAAAGAGAGTACCAAACCCCATGCTATTGATGTTTACAGCATACAGACTTCTTTGCAGACAGTAAAAAACCAACGAACCAGAAAAATTGTTACATACCCCCAAAATGTGACAAATACTGTGTATAGTATTCCAGGAAGTAAGGGAATTGAATACAAAGATAACTTTTTCAACACCAAATATTATGTTGAATATTGTGAATATGTATTGTCGAGTTTCAAAAGTTTAAAGACAGGCCAAATTTTAAGTGATTCCTGTTACATTTTAAGAAGATGCTAGGGCATCCTCACTATAACAAATGGCCCAGCATTCCCCCAGTAAATCTCACAGTTATCTCTGAAAATGAAACTAGTGCCTAACACTCTAGTGTCATCTTTAAAGATGAGTCGAGGCTATTTTATAACATCAAATTTATATAGTAAAATACCTAATACAGCAGTAGAAGAATGGCTTTTAAAGAGAAGAGTTAGAAAAATGAATGATTCTTTTCTTTTACCATGCAAGGCAGAGATTAAGATGTCACAGAAACTGATGACAGCAAGTGTAAGACTGCATTTAATAAACAACACTGAAATCTCTAAATACTTAGATAAACTCCATCCATGTTTTTTCCAGGTACACAAATTCAAGGGCATTTATCACTGACATACATTTCTACAACCATGCGATAAAACTAAGACTCTTGAAACAGCTTCATGTTTTAAATAAATTATATTACCTTCTCCTCTACCTTTTTATCTCCTAAGGTTTGTGATTCTTGTAGTTGTTTCAGAGATTCACTGAAGAAAGAATTATAACTTTCTTGAAGAGATTTCACTTGTTTTTCCAATTCATTTCTTTCTTCATCTGTCATTCTAAAGTAACCAGAAAGCATGAAAAGAGGAATGCAAGTCTTCAAGTGATACGGACAACACATTAGGCTCAATGATTTTGTAAAGTAAAATCCTTTTCCAAACAAGCACATGATCATAAAGTAAAACAAAACTTCATTTACAGATTGCTCAAGTCTCAGAATGTGTATAAAATTTAAGGATGGCCCTTACACATCCAGGAATCCTTCCCTCGCCTGAGAAAGAGACGGAGAGAAGGCCGTAAACTAACACATGAGCACTTCTCCAGCATACACACACATTTCTAAAATAACAACACTGTTATCCAACAGGAGGAAATATTCTATTGTTAGGTCCAACATGGAAGTGGGACAGAATGATAGCATGACTCAAGATGAAGCTTGTTCAAACTGAAGCATGAATAAAGACGAAATTAACAAGGAAATTAACCTGATTCTCTAAGGTACAATACAAAGTCATCGTGGCATAATCTTGGGGACAGCCCCAAAAAGGATTTAAGAAAAGGATAGATTTCTTCCTGCCTGAGGCACTGGCTGAAATACATGAAGTACCTTGTTGGAAAAAGTAAGACCAAAATATGAGAAACCAGGTTATCATAAGTCTCAGCAAAGAAAATGAAGATATTCATACATATTTTCCAAAAACTAAAGTCATAGAGAGTCATAGAAAGTACTACTTAGAATTAAAACTTGGCTTCGAATCTTTACCACTCACTAGCTATCCACTCTTAACCTTTTGGAGCCTGTTTTTTTTATCACTAATATATGCATATAATAGGTACATTTTAGGATTTTGGTAAAGACTATAAGTGACTAAAAGCAACTATTAAATTGCTAAGTTTATAACTGTATATTAAATAAATTTCTGAGTTTGATTTTTAAAATCTCAATTAAAATTTACCAGCTTTTGCTCTGCTTAACATGAAGACAACTTCTCTACTTTGAATAAAAGAGCTAATGAAAACCAACATACTTGTCTCCATGTTTTGCCAAAAATAGCTGCATGGTTTGAAGTGCTTCAGATAATTGCTCCTTTTTGGTTGATATTTCTTCACTGGAAATCTGCAAGGTTAAGAAAACGTACTCAAACTCTCCCCTCATAAAGACTAGAAAATAGTAATTATTAAAAACTAATCAGGTTTTAATTAAGATCCAAGTGATGGGTCTACTTTCTGGGTGGCCCAAGTTAATAACCAATCAGTTATTATCAGTGTACAAGCCTAAATAAGAAGAGTACTTTATCTAGAATAAAGATTAAGAGAAGTCTCTCTCTCTCTCTCTCTAACCATAATTCCCCCGTTTCCATTAGGAAGTGGTAATACAGCAGTACGTGGTTCTTGCATTTGTCACAGCCGAACTGTGAATAAAGGCTGCCCTAACTATCCCGCATGTCCAGAGGTTCTTCACTGGCCCAGTGTCATTCTTGTGTGGTGCAGCACTCAAAAACCCATGAACATGGGCCACTGCTCCATAAGAGTTATCTGGCCTCCCCCAAGCTCCTGCATGCCCTGCTCCTTTTGAAAAAATTATGGTGAAAGCATGAATCTGTAGATCTGCAGACCAAGGTTAAATCATTTCTAAAATTTGCAAAATTCATTGGTGACATGGGAATGAAATTGATCTGAGGGAAAGCAAGAAGTTGTAACATCTTCTCCTAATGTCTCAACGTATCAGTTCCGAATACTCTATTTAAGAAACTGACTGCCACCCTTTTAGAGAAGCAGAAATGAGAGGAAGTGATAGGCAAATGAAAAGGTATATTTTCCCCCAATGGACTTCATTCAGAACAGAGTCAAGTTTTTCGTGGTTATAGGTAATCATAAGGCCATACTGATTTTTAACACACATTATTCTATCAAAGTACCTTAAATTTCACTTAATAGAAAGGCCATTAAGCATTTATTAGAGATTTATAATTTAGGTGATGATCTGCATTTTAAAAGTGTCTGTCTACTTTTAGGTCTCCTAGATCTAAAGTGGATTTAGTAAAGTTTTGGGAAATTTATAAAACTGCAGAAAAAGAAAATACCAAGCTTTGTAATCTACATCTCTCAAAAGAAACTTGTTCTCCCAAGAAATCCTTGCTAAAGTTTGTATCCCTATTTTAGTTCTTGCCTTATCTGATGGGGTGGGGGTAAGACGGGTAGGGTATTTTAAACTAAATACTGGCACAAAGTTACTTTGAAGATTTGGAGTTTAAAACACCAAATGTAATTGCTTTCCAACTTCTGATTTCTTCTACACTAATAGGAAATATAGTATATAGGACTATGAGCTAATATGGCTTTATTTCAACTGAATACTAATTCAAGTATACACTCAGGTCTATGAACTTCTCCAATGGGGAGCCCAGATCAGTTACATCTGCCTGATATCACAGCCCAAATTAGACAAGACATTGAAGTTTCCCCCTATTTAATTATGTCAACAATGTCTGTTTCAACTGATGACACGTGAACATTGATGCAGAGCGAGAAAAGGAAGCTAATGATGACCCCATTATTTCCAAAAGTCAGGGCAGAGGCAGGGGGGGCAAGTGTAGGAAAAGTATTTGAGGAAAAATACTACTTAATTTAGTGGAAACTTATTGTTTTTTAGTACAGCCTCAATTCCAGTGCTGTTACTGGTGAGCATCAACACTGGACCTTAGCTCAACAACACCCAAAGACCTTCACACGGTACTGTCCAACGGACATCACGGGGCACTAACATCTCACGAGCTGGCTACCCAACGGCGGCCAGAAAACTGGGGAACAGAAGAGAGCCCACAGCGTGAAAGAATTCACTTAGGTAAGGGAAAGAATCTAGAATTTCCAGTGATTGACTTTTTGTAAAAGACAAAGACCCAGGAAAGTACATGAAATCCTCAAAAATGTTAATACCCCCGTTTTGTATTTCTTTTGTTCTTGAACATTTTTGTTTACCTTTTTAAGAATGAGACCACATAGTTTTACTATAAAGAGTGCATGGGTTTACTCTGGGCACAAAACAGAACGACTCAGTGCCTTAGCAACTCTCTTCACTATAATCAAGAAGCAGATCTAACCACTAGGCGCAGCAACAGTTAAGACTAATAGAGTTCAGGCTCCGGAAGCAGAGATACTTCCTTCTGCTACAAACCGTGATTCCTTGGACAGGTTACTTAACCTCTCTGACCCTCATTATAACTGCCTACAATTTTTTTAGGTTGTGTCAATTCAGTAAATTCTACCCACTATTATTATTATTTAACCAGAACCTCAGTGAATACCTTTTGTTTAGAGAAGGTAGATTTTCCACCCTTCTCACCATCTTTCAATGTCTTGCTGATATTTGATACCCATTTCTGCAATTCTTTGGCTTTTTCAACATGTTCTTTCTTTTCTTCTTCCAATGACCTCTAACAAGTGTGAGTGGTTTAAAAAAAAAAAAAAGATATATTCCAGTAAATGTTTGAGCTGTTAAATGGACCTTTCCACAGAAAATAAGAATGTAAAAGTATGTTTTAATCACACACAGTATACTGAGCATTTTATTCATTCACTGAACCATGTTTATCACATCATATGGCAGATGTACTTCCACAATGTTTATGGTAGCAAAGAAAGCTGTGACACTCCAGAATGATCAGTCTAACCTCCCAGCTGGTCTATCAATATAGACAAATAAAAAAACCTCAATTTTATTCATGAAGCACTAGAAGATCTTGGAAATGCTGCCTTTGCATTAGCATTACAATCACAGTGGTCTAGACAGAGAAGTATCAAAATGGAAATCGGAAAGGACCATGAATGTGTACACACATATGAAAAATATACAGAATGAAGAAATATCTCTCCCCTTCTTCTAACACACAATAATGCTACTTTTAATTATAGACTCTATGTGGAAATGGGAGATTGTGGTAAACATTTATTATGTAAAGGTTATAATGCAAGAAAAACTGGAAACTTCTTCCCTTTTCAAGGAGAAAAACACTGTAGCTTCATAGATGAGGTGGGCGAAGGGGACAAATTTACATCCTTCTCTTTGATTCCATGGTGCCCTCTGAAGTACTCTTTCAGCAAATGTAATGGATCATTTTAAAAATGTGAGCCCTAACGTCTGGCTGGATCTATTCCGCAATGAAGAATTCTGAAGAAAGGATGCTATAAACTTGCTGGAGTTCATCAAGCTTACTCCATATTCTAGGTAAAATACCTTTATTTTAGTGAAGGCAAGATCAAGACAAAACCAAAACAAAACCACTAACCTAAAAGCTAAAGGAAACCATTTTGAAGAACAGTAAATAATTTGTTACTTTCAATTTAAAAATTATTCTCTCTCCTAAACAGTCACCTATTTCCAGGCCTCAAGAAATTAACAGTGCTCTGAGTAGGTGACATAATCACTAGGCTGTGTATTTAACTGATATTGTCATGCTCTGGACAGATCACATGAAGGGGAGAGCATCACCCCTGCGCAAAGTTATTTAAACACGTCCTTTTATGAAGAATAGTAGAGGCTAGAAATCCCAGTCATCAAAGGTTCGGATACCTCTAAGAGTTTAAGACCTGTGTGGAAATCAAAATCAGCTTTCTCTAAAGCTTCTTTGTATGTCAACTTTCTTTTCGTTTGAGGGCATATTATATTTCTGACATACGACTTCTGATCTTTGAGTTTCGTAGCAATGAAAACATCTATGATGCCCACTTGGAGAGCCTCTTCAATTGACAACCGGGAATGAACCTGTGGCTCCATCAACCCCCCTGTCAAATACTGAAATTCCAAACATCTGATTCCCATTTCCTTACTTATGATATTTGCATTGACAGCCTCCACCACTGACATCACTTTGTTAGTGACAGGATGGCCAATCCCTGTGATTACTACCTCACACTGTCGCAGCTGCTGGGCAAACCCCTCGTCCACGAGGCCTCTATGCAAAGCTTCTGCCACCCGGTATTTTTTGCCAGTGAGAGGATCAATTATCCCCCCTGTGCTGACTTGGGCTTCAAGGCATCTGAGGGCAGTGATCCGGTCAACCAAATTCCTGCGGGAGGCCTTTAGGACAGAGATCCTTTCCCCACTGGTGGTCAGCCAGTAGCCGGCAATAGGACTGTGCAAATCCTTCTTGGGAACCAGCTGGCTTAGCAAGGAATCAGCGAGTTCTGTAAGTGTGATGAGTCCTTCCTGATACTTTCTGACCCAGGTTTTGTCCACAGTTCCCTGCTCTACAGCTTCATTAATATTGAACTGTAACCCCGTTTTAGTATCAGTCAGCATATGAGAAGGATGCCCGTAGGATTCAAAAAACGTGGCTTCCTTCCACTGATACTGTTGCCCTGAAAGCTCTAGGTAGGTACTTTTTTCAATTAGGTTTCTCTGGAAAGCCTCATATGCAGTCAGTTCTGCTCCCGTTTTAGTATCTACTACAGAAATCCTATGGGTTTTGCCTACATTGAGATTGGAAATGTTCCTCTCCCCAAAGGGAAACAGAAAGCACTGGCAATCTACATCAAATACACACATTCGCAGTAATTCGGAGTAATAGAGAGCTTGCTTGTTGTTGGGATTAGGAAAGACTCTTGAGTTGCTGGATGGCTCGTGTAAAAATTGTAGGATGGCATTATTTAACAAGCCTTGCTGCACAGCAACTTCTGGAGGAATGCGGATGCCCCTCACAGGGTCAATGACTCCCCCACTGGCAATCTGGGCTTCCAACATGTGTTTACCTCTTTGTCTGTCAAGCATTCTATTTTCCATAGCTTGGAACACTGACAACGTCTTAGAAGAATATGAATATCCCAGGGCTGCCTTCTCTGCCTCAAGAAGCCTAATTTTGAATTCGGGGTCAATAACTCCATTCAGGATTGCATCTTCAACAGAGTATGTCTGACCTGAATTGGGGTCAATTATAAAACCTGTTGCAGCCTGAGCTTCTAAAAATGCTAAAGCCATCATTTTGTCTATTATGATTTTCTTGGCTGCTGAGGCAAAGGAAATCTTTTCTTTTGTGGATTCTAGGTAAAGCCCCGCGATGGAGGTGGCTTTTGTCAAAAACTTGCTAAGCATTTTCTGAACTTCGTCAACAGTCTTGAGACCAAGTCGCAGCTGCTCAACTGTTTTTGCATCCAGAAGCTTGGCTTCAACCAACTGCCTACCAGTCACAGTGCGCCGGAGCCCCTGGAATTTAAATTCATCATCCCTAACTGAACACGTGTGATCGCCATCCACGTTCTGGAAGGTCTCTGGTTCTGAGCCTTTCTTAAGCAAATCTCTCTGGAGTCCACCAGGTGCTCTGCACCCTCCAAGCATCCATTCCTCGGCACTGGGGCCTGGGCTCTTCTCTTGTTTTAATGTGGTGACTTCTGTGTGCATATCATATTGCTTGTTCTGAGCTATCTGTAACAGGAATTTATGAGACGTTACAAATCATCTAAAGAACATTATGTCACTTTACCCATCCTTAATCCAAATGTAATTCCTACAATAACGAAAGTTAAGTAGAGAGAGGAAAATTTTCAAACCAAAGAGGGGTCAGGGACAAGTAATGGTATTTTGAGAGTCTGAAGTCTACTTTAGATGACAATTAAGGTACTAAAATGGTACATTTAGGGGCGCTTGGGTGGCTCAGTGGGTAGGGCATGTGTAAATTAATCTCCGGGTTGTAAGTTCAAGCCCCACATTGGGTACAGGGATTACTTAAAAATAAAATCTTTTTTTTTTTAAAAAAAGGTACATTTTAAAAAGACTTGAGATGAAGTTTCTCCAAAGAAACTTTAGAAATTAAAGTGAACTGCTTAGCTTCTCTAGCTTTGAAAAAAAAAATTCTTCAGAACATAATACCATAAATATAACTGTAACACCATTACATCTATGTATTTAATCTCAGCCATTTAAAAACTAAAGAATGAGAATTTGTAGTAAAGATTCAAGCCAATCACTAGAAAACTACAGCATAATTTTCTGTCAGAACTACAAAGAGCCAATCTCTTAAACATTGTTAAAAAAGTTTTAGTCTAGCTGAGAAAGGAAATAAGAGAGGAAACTTGGCATGAGGTAGCCAATAAGGTCTCAGAATCCAGAGTATACCTCCAAGGGGGCCAAAAGTTTCGCCAGGTCCATTTCACACTTGCCATCTTGATACCTAACCGGTGGTCTGGAACTGTACAGAGCTTGATCTCTTATCTTCTCAATTTCTGAGAGTTTTGTAATAGGGTTTGTCTCATCAAAAGTTATCTGTAATTCGGTGCTTGTCTGAGAAAAATACTCAGAGTAACACTGCTGGCTTTTCTCTTTCTCAAGTGGACCCCCTGACGGCCAGAACTGCACTTCCTTTGGTATTTGCTCAACACCCCGATGCTGCCATTTTTCTTCCAATTGCTGTGGGTCTTGATTCCGTCTCAGCAGAGAAGACCGGGTCGCAGGGTGAAGCTGCCCTGTGGTCCTAGAGGGCACGTCTGTAGAGTGCTGGCACTCATTTACTGTCATCTCAAAATCTGGTTTGAAGGGACAGTCTTTGGCTGGGTTCCTTTTTTGGATTTCACATTGGAGCAAAACTAATTGATGTTCGTGTTCCTTTATCTGTTGATCCATCTTTTGCTTCAGACGTTCGACTTCACGTTTCTGGACTACCAGCTCGTCTTCAAGTTTCTGACATTTCTGATAATGATTTGCTTCCACATTCTGCCCTTGTTGCATTTGCTCGCGATACTGCTGAAGCTGTCTTTCAAGGTCTCTGATATTTGTCTCACAGAGCTTAGCGTTCTCCTGAGCTCTGCAGTTCTCTCGCTGAAGAGACACGAAGTCAAGCTTAATGCCTGAAATATCGTTTTCAGTGATAACTTTGGAGTCCATTAACTTTTCCATCTTTTTCCGAAACTCCTCCGCCGAGCACTTGAACTTGTCCGATTCCTCCTGAAACAGAACCATCTTTCTGTGGGTCATCTGCTCCTCTATCGTCTTTAAGTGCAGTTCGTCTTGCACTTTTTTCAGCCTGTTATTTAACTCCTGCACCTGAGCTTGCTGTAGCTGTACCTTCTGCTCCCCTAGTCGCTTTTCCTCTTTGGAGGCGCTGAGCTCTGCACTCAGACTCCGGACTTCCTTCTCAGTGTTCTGGATGATGATGTTCTGCTGGTCACACTTTTGCTTAAACTCACTGACTAAATTTTGGCTTTTGGCCAGGTCTTCCTCTAGGCATTTAATTTTTCTATGGAAATCCTGTTCTGTCTTTGTCTGTTTATGCAAGTGTTCGTTGGTGTTGCGTAGCTGATCTTTAAAACCATCCGCTTGAATTTTCAGGGCTTCGCATCTTTGCTGGATAGCTTGTTTCTCCAAAACTACGTTCGCTGATTCAGTCTGAATTCTCTGCATCATTAACTTGGTTTCATTATTCTGCCTAGTAAGCTCATCTACTTT